CCCGTTTGACAGAAAGCAGCGAATTAAATCACCGAATACTGGCGCCGACGGCGCCAAAATGGGCGCTGACGACGCCAGAATGGGCGTCGACGATGCTAATGTCAGTTTAGACCCTGTTTAGAGAAGATTCGACGAATTTGGACGCTTTTTGAAGAGTTTTTGAAGGCACTTATTGGAGAACCAACTCTAGGCTTTATTTGGGGTCGAAATTGATAAAAAAAATGGCTCCTCCTCTTTCGTTTTTCATCATTCCTCGCCTCAATTCAATCTTCTATACACCATACACATTTCCATCTTCATTCCACCACCATTTTGGAGTCTATTAGTGAATTTTCTTTAAGAGTTTAAAGTTTTTGTAGTGAGATTAAGTGTGAATCTTTCTCTAAGAGTGTTGGAGAAGAAGAAAAGTGAGATATTTTATCTTCCTACATTTCCTAGGAAATGCTACAAGGGATTTGCTTTGAGAAATAGTTTCAGATAAGTGTTGTTTGTTCTTTTTATTAGTGTTGTATGAACTTTCTTTTATATATGGAATTTGTGTTTTGTTGTATCTTTCTCATGAAGTCTGAGTAGTTTCTTTTATCTTTCTCCCTACTCTGAGATATAGTGAAATGAAGAGATAATATGGATGTGCCAATATTAAAATATAAAATAAATTGTGATGATTTTTTAACTCAGAACTTAATTTACTTTTTGATCTGACTAATTAAATTGTTAAAATATGTTGTGAAAGATATGATCCACGAAATAGAGTATGTGTTCTACAACAGAGTGAGGATCACATTTGATTCCATGAAGGAGAACTTCGTTCATAGAATTAAGTGCAAATAAATAGGAAAATATATGCAAATAAATAGGGAAATATACATTGTTGGGTGTAAAATTGGAGATTTTAGGGTGACAGACTAAAATTCTCAATTCGTTCTTAGTGTTTAAAAACTAAAGTGAGAGTTAGCCTTCAGGTGATAAGAAGTGGGAGCTCTGGAGGGGGAGCCAGTATCCTCCTAGCCTAGCCACGGGTTTATAGACTAAATCTGGGATTAACCAATGATTTTTTATAATACCCTATAATACTGAATTAGGGTAAAGAATTAAAATTACTTCTATTTGACACAATACATGTTTAAACCAATTATCTCATCTCATTTCACCAAAAACTCATTATCCTGGGAAAGATGTCTTTTCTTATTAGAAAACTTCATGACATAAATACAGTTTAGTAGTTATTATTTTAAACGTTGCATTAAAATTTTGCTAGTAGTTAATAAATTTAGTTCTGATAATATCTTAACATTCGAAATTCGTGACAGTAATTTCATTTTACTTTCTGTGAATTTCCTAGTTAATTTGTCATTTTAAATTTAAACATTTCCCGTGGGATCAATATTTGGGACTTAAAAAGATATTTGGGGCTTAAATAGAAAGTCTTTTATTACTTGATAACGATACGTATACTTGTGTAGAATCCCAATATTTATTGTTTAAATTTCTTAATCATAAATATTGCATTAAGCTTTTGCCACCGTTATATAGCGGAGTCAACTTTATAATTTTTACATAACTATATTTTCTCGGGGATCAAGTTTTTTGCGCTGTTGCCGGGGAAGATAACGGTAAATTAAATAGATTTGGTAATTAAGAAATTTAGAGATAATTATATAAAAAATTGAAAAAAAAATTAAAATTGAAAAAAATTAAAAAATCCAAAAAGAAATATATTTTTATTATTTAAGAGTATTTTTAAGAAATTTTCTTTACTTACTATATTTATTTATGCAAAATAATGGATCTGAAAGTTTAGTACCTTACGACAATTTGAAAATAATAAAAAGAAATTAAAAGTTTGAACAAAATGGCGAATAACTTAGATAATCAAATAAATGAAAATCAACAAAGACCTTTAAAAGAATATGTTAATCCGACAACAGATAAACTTCACTTCACTATTCAAAATCCTAATGTTGCTGTTAATTTATTTGAGCTTAAACTTTCTATTATCCAAACGGTACAAATTAATCAGTTTGGAGGAACATTTACGGAAGATCCTAACTTACATCTTCTTGGTTTTGTTGAAATATGTGCTACTTTTAAATATGACGAAGTGTCTAATGATACTGTTAGGCTTAGACTTTTTTCTTTTTCATTAAGGGATAAAGCAAAAGCTTAGTTAAATTCATTAGCACTTGGATCTACCAGAACTTTGGAAGAACTATCACAAAAATTTTTGAATAAATATTTCCCACCCTCGAAAACTACCAAGCTTAGAAACGATATTACATCTTTTTATTAGTTTGAAGGGAAATGGGTATATGAAGCCTGGGAAAGATTTAAGGATCTCCTT